GATTTGTGTTTATTGGTGTATAAAACTGCACACTAAATATTTTATGAGGATGCAAAAATAATATATAAATGAATTTATTGGACAATCTACACCAGAAAACTTTCAAATATTCTCTGTTTCGGTATTGAAGCCAAAGCTGTTTTATCAAATTAATTCTGTTTATGGCCTGGGTCTATGAACTGGAAGAAAAACACTGCATATTTATATTAACAATCCCATAATGTGGAAAACTAAAAATGAAACTTTGAATGAAAGAAAACTTAAGCGTTTACACATGTGGACACACCGTTTGTAATGTGGTTTCCTTTCCTATGAGGAAGAGTGTTTGTTTTTTTAATATGACATTAAGCTAATGAAAATCCTGTGTCTATGGGACAGATGTCTGGCAACAGCTGAGGTTTAATAACTCATAAAATATGAACCACATTAATTAACATATGACCATCAGATTGTAAACTATTCCCCAAATAAATGAAGCTGTAGTTGGTTATTCTTTAACCAAGGCAGTATCTTGCACACTAGGAAAGGTATATGGATGACTGCCTATGGGTACTAAGGTTGGAGATCTTCCAAAGCGAATGAAGAGGCACCTGGCCAGAGCCAGAGTGGATCCAGTTGTCATAGTCAATGTTGGAACCAGTGATGTAGGTAAGGATAGGTTTACCTTTCTTTGCTGACACATCTAAAGACTGGGGTGCATTAACTTCATGGGTAGGTAAACAGTAACATGAAAAAATTGAACACAAAGCTGATATCAGCGGAGTGGATCTATCGGGATTTGGGCTTTATTTTGAAGCTTTACGATTCACATAACCTTCCCCTGAGTAGATAGGGAGCTAACACATTAAGACAATTCACCTGTAGTGCTTATGCTGGTAAATGGTAGTGGTGAGTTCAAAATCAATCATAACACAAGATTTTAGCCTTAAATAGACAAAATGAAAAGATTACATGCAATAAAAAGGCCTACATTGTCAGGGAGATGCGTACAGGAAGATGGTCCTTTTGGCTTCATGCTTTAAGTCATCGGGTAAGAATGGTGAAACAAAAATCTGGCAGATATCTGGGCACAGATTCCAAAACTTTTGCACCTAAGAATGCAGTAATTTTATAAATTTATTCTGTCGTTGTATAAAAAATGATAATCGTTTTACATTGGAAACTGAGAAGCCAGGCAGTTCTGGCTGTGTAAATGGGTTAAAATCAATCTCTAAGCCATCAAATCCCTTTCCTAAGACATTAGTAGCGACAATGAGTTCTGCACACATGGCCATGACTTTAACTTGGTAAATATCACACTCAATCCTCTGGATCCTGGTTCTTAAATATAAGGTGTTGGCAGTCCAGCTATCTGCAATTTGTATTTGTTTTATAAAGGTAGTTTCGAGCTGTTTGATTTTGCTTAACACCTTATTGCCTTCTATATTGGCAGAGATCCTGTTTTAATCATTTGTTTTACTTCAGATTCTCAGTTATTGCACTATTAAGACTGCAAGACTGGAAAAGAATTTTACCTACAGTATGATTTATGGATCTGGATCCAGCCGTTGATTATATTTTGCAGTGTGACATTTCTACATGTTGCAGGAAGATAACGAAACCAGGTTCTAAAACCAAAATTCACAAAACTAAATATTCTGGAAATGTGATGTTCCAGTTACTTAGAGATTTAAAGTAGTTCCTGCTTTCACAGTTATCATAACATGGGCATGATCAAAGCATTTGGACTTTTCACAAAAGCTTATTTGAACAGACAATTTCTTAAATGTGAAGAAACTTATAGTATATGAATTCTTAAGACATTCTTCTGAAGTAAAAAATTCCTTGGGTTATTGAAGCCAATGTAATTTACCTAAACATGAAAGGTTTATGAAGATCATGGATAATGTCTCTAGGGCTCCAGAAGAATACTTTGGAGAAAAAATAATATGCTTGAAGTAACAACAAACTGCATTACAAATATACAAGTAAGTTTGAAAGACACCATTCCAGGAATGTTTATTCCAGAAGCTAAAATGTTAATGAAAATTATTACCAAATAATTCTCATAACAAGGAGACATTTTGCTGGAAGTAGTCAATTAGCTGTGCAGAGACAGAATACAATCTTACAGTAAGTAATTTTAAGTCCTCAGAGGGGACGGTAACAAACATTTTTTTCTTCTTAGTATTATCAAACTCAGATGTGTAAAGAATGAAGCCAGGATTTATAATGTAGATTGTTTACAGGAGCTTTTATTCCCCCATGGCCTATGACACCAGATGGTGTTAAATGAGTGACATAACATAAATGAACCAACATGACAGAAACGTAGCTCTTTGTTCTTTATGGTGAACATTGCTAATGTGATTTTGAGATGATAATTTAAAAAAATAATCAAGACCTCAAAATTGTTGTGAAAATTTTATGAAAGGTCCTAAGATCCTAAGACTTTGGTCATGCAGTAAAATGTCTGTGATCTTATGTGGAAGATATTTTATTAATCACAGTCTTTACTGAGTCCTACGTAATAGCCGTTATATCAGTGCTCTCCAGAGTTATTAAAACTCACAATGATCTAGGAACCGAGAATATAAAACATTTATGGATTGGATAATGTCTTGCTAGAAGAAATTCAAAGAATCTTAATCTTCAATGCATATTTTCACTCCTCTTATAAATTCTCCTCTGGCTTGAATTACACTGACTGGATATCTTCTGTGATCTGCTCTGAGGTTCGGGCATTTCTTGTGGGGTATTCTTTACCATTCCTCTGGACTGAATTACTCCGAGCCCTTCAGAGTTTGAGTATGGAAAGCAGCTTCTTGAGTTTGAACCACAAATATTAGAGTGCATTGAATTCTGGAGTTGGAGATGGCCATTTAGAACATTTTGTATGTCTTTATCCTTTTCTATTTTGTTGATTTGGACATGTGCTTTGGATCTTTGTTATGCATAGATGTTAAATATTATGAAGCTTAAACCAGGTGTTCAACCAAAATGTCCTGGTACGTGTTGAAGTTCCCCCACTCCCCTATCTTAAGGTTCCAGTACCTTTATAAAGTAGTTTTAGCTTTTTGTTTATTTTACTTGGTTTTCAACCATTTGGTATTATATTACAACTTTATTTTCATTAGGAGATCACAGTTGAAAGATGACAACTGCAATAAACAGTCTTAGGGCCTCCCACAACAGGAAAAAGTGTTAATTAAAAAAAAACATCATGAAGCATTCCTAACTAACATTTAGAGCACATGGTTTCTTCTTGGAGGGTGAGAGGAAATTAGATCTTCAATACCTGGTGTTCTGAAACCAAATGCAACAGTTGCTGTCTCAAGCAGGTATCACAGTGAGTGAAAATCTTTGTAAAAGAAATAGTTTGAATTGTGTTTTTTTTTTACACAAAACATTTGACAACATTCAGACATGTTGCCCGAATTTCATGGCTGGAGAGACCCGACCACCCTTGTCATTGGATGTGAATGTATGTGATTTTTATTTGTAGGGAAATTGGTGTATTATTAAGATATTATTCCATGCCTGTCCATTCTTTCACCAGTTTGAGACCTTAAAGGAAAAATTCAACAAGTAGTAGTTCATTTTCACTTGATAAAGAGCAATGTGTGAATTGTGTTTTTACAGAATATGATTATACTGAAATAATCAGTGAACTTCGGTCTTTAAGGATACATCTGTAATTTTGTATATTAAGTTCCTGAAAACTAGCCATATGTAAGAGTCAGGAAAACTGCCAACTGTGTCACAACAGAATTTAAAATGTAGAAAAACATCTTCAGGAGTGATTTTAGCTACCATTGCAAACCTTAAGCATATACCTATGTCCTTGTTGAACTATACTTAATTGTCCTGTTAGCTCATCTAAGTTTATGGAAAATACATTAAGGTTTTAAGGTACATGTGAAGTTGTAGATATAACGATTTATTAAATTAGTTAATTAACTAGAACATAAACTGTCATTTTCCTATACAGGCTTATATTCATACCATTGATAAATGTCATTTATTGTGCTGTACTTAGTAATAAGTAAATGTACAATATTTCATAATTGGCTTGCTGCTGTGTTATGTCCATGTCTATAATTGTAATGAGTTATTCTAAAAATAAATGAAAAGGAAATTGTTCTCCTCTCTGGAATGGTTCACAGATGGCTAGGTTAATCAAGTTTAAAGGTGAGTAAGCTTATAAACTGGTCCAATCTCTACCCTATCTCCAGAAACCGAGAAGTGTAGCACAGCCACCAACAAGACTTGTGCCGAAAAAGCAAAACAGGATGATACAGTTGATCTTAGACATCAGTCCAGATATTTCTTTAGATGTACAGAAATTACAGTTGGGCAAAACTTTACATCTCCCCCTATCAATTTTTTAAACTCTAAACAACTGTGAATTGCATAATGTTACAGATTGGATGTCTTATCTGAAAATTAAATTTCAGCGTGTCTGCAATTTTGTTTTGCATCAAATGTGATTAATTTGAAAGCTGCCAATACCTTGTACCATCTTATTTTGCTCACCTTGGAGTGAAATGTCTTTGTAATTTAAACACTGTTTCATTACTTAAAAAGGCAGGAATTATCCAAAGAACCAAAGGTTACAAGTGGAAATTGTCATGGGGCCTCAAACACGTCACCAACCAGACTGTTGAAGCTGACTTTTTAAAAATTTTTAAGAAGCAATTCTTGTTCATCTTCCATTCTAGATGGGCCAAATGGCTTCCTTCTGTGTTGGTTTTGTTTTTAAATATGATACATTATTAATGGGGGCACCAGAAGATCTGAAAATTACTATAGTGGGTTTTTGCATTCCTCTGTAATTGAAATACATCTTCACATTGAAAAGTAATTCTGTCACTTTATTTGCTTGCACCTCCTTTCTATCCACTGCTTTCGTCCTCAATTTGCTGGCACGTGGAGGATGGAGTGAACTGCTGCTGGCGTTTCTCAGCCATTTGTTCTTTAACCGGCAGCCAACAGTCCTGTCTTTTCTTCTTTTCTTCTAGGTGCCTTCAGTTCAGCCAATGGGAGCCGTCGGAGCTCTGCAGCCCCCCGGATTTCCAGCTCACATGGGGCTGCCTCCTCCAGCCTTCCCACCGGGAGTGCCCCCTCCACCACCTCCACCCTTTATGCGGCCTGGATTCAACCCCCTTCAGATGCCACCAGGTATTTGAGTTCAGCTTAGTCATTACACTCATTTATTACACACTCAGACCAGAAAAGAAAAGACACTTCTTATGGCCTTGTCAAAATGATGAATAGGTGCTGTCAGAGGTGGCATGTCATTCATTGGCTTGATGAATTCCCTCAAAGGTCCCTGGGCAGGCAGAAGAATTCCCAGATTTCAGTGAAACTTAGAACTGGCAGAAATGTAGAGCTCATATCCCATTCATGCTGGTCTTCCTTGAAGCTTTCCTTTACAGCTTAGAGGCATCTTAAGGTGGAACGCAAGTCACACAAGGGCAAACTTCCACTTATGCTAAATTTGCTGACCAAACTATTGGCTACCATATCAGATACTTTTTGGACATCTGATTGCAGCAAGAACAGCTTTTGTAGCCCATCCCTCTAACTGGAGCAGGTTTGCCTTTAGTTGAGGCTGTGATGGAGGTAATAATGTCTGGGACTGAACTGGACATTCCATTGATTTTTCAACACGATTTTGAGCCGGAGGTTGTTCCAGTCAGGGAATAAGGTGGAAATCTGTCTTCTCACACCAACCATACTTTGCTTTCTACTGAAAGTCTATTGATTTATTGATTTAACTGGGGATTGCTGATACTATGAACGGAGAGCATAAGTGTTAACATTTCAGCATCGTCGCTTAAAAGATATTTTCTTTTTCACGCTAATGCAGGATTCCTGCCCCCCGGCACTGTGCCTCCGATGGCCACAGGAGGACCTTTACCTCCTAATGTTGCCGTCAGCGTCCCAACATGTAAGTGTCATGACCAGATGTGGAAGATTCGGACACTGTAGTCGGTTGCCCTTCTATTGCAGTACACATTCTTAAGATCAGTGATAAAATGTTGAGCAGATCCAGAGGAGGGCAGCAGGATTTATTCTGGAGTTTAAGGTTATTTATGGTGCAATATTGAAGGAATTGTATCTTTATAGGTTTAGGAAAAGACAAAAGGAAGATTTATCAGGTTTCAAAAGTGTAGGTCATGGAGAATACGTACAGTCAAGAGAGCACAAACTGGAAACTTCACTGTTTAAGACAGTTTTACATCACAGATAACGATCAGTATATGGAAAGGATTGCTTGGAAAACCTTATCTGGGTTTGACACAGCATTTGTGGTCGGAATGGCCTGTTCTTGTCATTAGCTGTTCTTATGATTATAAATATTGATCTTGGTAAGAATGCATGGAACAACTACTCTTTATTGGAAGCATTATCAGGTCCAGCACAGAAATATGCATGCTGTAAGTGCTGCTCTTGAGTCTTTGGTTATATTTGCTGACTGGGGAGCCTTCTATGTGGAGTTTGCATGGTCTCCCCATGGTCATGTGGATTTTCTCAGATGCTAGTTAATTTCCACTTTTCAAAAACATACTTGGTTAGGTTGATTTGGTGTTTCTGATTTGTATTTGCCCTTTCCTTACCTTGTTGGATTTTTGAACTAGCTGGAAGTTCGGGAGAAGATACTACAAAGGACACTTCAAGTGGGAATCAGGTCTCCTCTGCTGTTGGTGTGAGAACCAATTCTGAACCTACAGATAACTCCAAGTTGTATGGATCGGTACCAGCACTGAACCAGGGCATCGGCACCAACCTTCCCGTGTCTATGCCACAGCCCATGGCTGGCCTTAGTAAGTACACTGAAGCAGTAGTAGATTTCATTTCCTTTACTATTGAGTTTGTATGCCCCAGTGTTTGCATTGGTATCCTCTGGGTGCTCTGGTTTCCTCCCACAGTCCAGAAACATACGGGTAGGTTAATTGGCTTATGGGAAAACTGGCCCAGGTGTGAGTATGTACATGTCTTTGTTTGTATTTGTCTGCCTTGTGATGGACTGGCATCTGATCCAAGGTGTAACCCGCCTTGCTTCTGTTGCTTGCCAGGATAGGCTCCAGCTCCTTTGAGACCCTAAACTGGACGCAGCAGAAAGCGGACGAATGGATAGATGGTGTATCATGAACAAAACAATTACTCGTTTAAGGGAGTGGGATAGGTTGGATTGATAGAACAAAGATATCCAAGGCTTCATACTTAAACACACATCGTTCACTAGCTTCTGAAGAATTGTTCATATAGCATTCTTTAGTCTGTAGCCTTTGTTCTAATGTTCTTATCAGTGCTTTTCTGTTTAAAGCTTTTTATTTGTCAAGATTGGAAGTGTGAATAACCGTTGCCTTAACCATGAAATGGGAGTGATGAGTGTTTTCCCTTCTCTTTTGTTTTTTTGTTTTAGATGTGTCAGAGCTGAAAACATATCAGTCTTACACTCTGCCTTTTTGATTCTTCAGCAGGTAGTCAAGTGGGTGCTCCAGGTGGCCCAGTAATGAATCTGCAGCCCCCCTCCGGGGGTCTGTTAGGAGCCCGGCCTGGTATGATCCCTCTTCAGCGGCCCCCAGGAGTCCCTCCACCCCACATGCAGCGCTTCCCGTTGCTCCCGCCTCGCCCCAACATGCCCATGCCTCCCCAGATGATGCACAGGGGACCCCCCCAGCTCCTGCACAGAGAGCCCCCGCCCGGGGGATACGGCATCCCACCACCCCACAGCTTGAGGGGGCCGTTCTCCCCCCACGGCCCCTTCATTCGGCCCGGTGGCCCGAGAGGCCCCCCGGAGGGGCCCGACGAGCGGGACGGCAGGCAGTTCAGGAGCGAGCGGCCAGGCTTCGGCCCGGGGCGCGAGCGGGAGCAGGACCGGTTCGGGAGGCGGCCTTTCGGGGGCGGGGCCGGTGGAGGGGCTGGGGGCCGGGGGGAGCCGGAGGGCAGGGATCGCTACATCGGCCGCCACGACGAGTATGGCCGCGACCGGAGGGACTGGGGCCGGAGCCCAGAGCACGAGCGGCCCAGGGACGGCGAGGAACGGAGCAGGCGGGCTAGCGGACACCGTGACCGAGACAGTACCAGGGAGCGTGAGTCGCGCAGAGACAGGGAGGACAACCGTGGCCGGGAGAAGGCTGACGAGGCAGAGAGTACTGACAGATACCGTGACTCGGACACCGCTGAGCAAGCTGCGTCCTCCGAGAAAGAACTGCCCACGCCGGACCCTGAGCCCACAGCGTCTTCGGACGTGACTATGGAGCCAAAGGCCGTGGAGTCGTCTGGATCCACTGAGCCAGTGGAGACGCCCCAAGAGGCCAGATCCTAGAAAGAGAGAAAAAAGGAAAAACTGCTCAGGCAGACGTGGAGCGCTGCCCTGTGAACCACATCGTCCTACTTCGGAGCTTGAATGTTGTAAAGAAACAAAACGCTGTAAATACGCTTGTGCTACTCAACACCTCTTTGTAGTTTTGGGGGAAGCGTTTTGTTTATACCCCATGTGTTTCAAGAAAAACAATTAAATTGACTTAAACACAAAACAATATAAAAAAAAACTTTTGCTGTAACTTTTTTTTTAACTTTAAATGTTTACAGAGCATAGGAATTGAGAGGTTTATATCATTTTTAAATTAAAACAAATTTAAATCTCTTCCAACGTTTGAGCTTTAGGGATTTGTTTTTAATAAACTATTTTCGTACCAAACTTTAAAGTGTGATATTCTTCCTGGAAATGTATGATTTTAAAAGCTGATTGTTATCTGGCAATGTCCACATGCTTGGAATTGTTTAATGATATCGTTTTCTGGTGTGACAATTTTTGCTACATTTTTACTTGTTAAAGACTGTACAGAATTATATATATATCACAGAAAAATGCAGTATCCAAAGTAACTGTTTAATTGCTGGGGAAATGCTTTATTGATTTTTTTCCAACATATGCTGTATACATAAAAATTACAAATGTTTTGATTTGAGGCCGCCCTTCATCTTTGCTATACTAATTCCTGGTTTACAGTTACCAGTCAATGTCACGATTGTGTCATTAAAAAGGTAAGTTTTGTATTAATGCCTCTTGTTGAGTGGAGAATAATTGTCTGCCTTTCCCCCCACGTTCCATAAAGCGGAGATGTTACCATTATTTCCCATTATTATTTCCATTTCTCCTGTGTGAGAAATACACTATGCTCTTTCCAAAGGAGTCTGCATTATAAAAGGAAAGCGAGATAACGTCTTATGCTGATTGCTAAAAAAACTGACTGTCTCAACATCAACCTGAAAATGAAAACCAAGCAGAAATGGCTAGTCTTTTTATGCAGTAAGAAAACACCTTTTAGGAATGTCTGCTCTTCATAGCTAAATGTAAAGAAAAAATGACATTGAAAAGGATGCACTACTTATACCAATCTACTAATTATGCATTGTTTGAAAACAATTTTACCCCTAAATATGAGTGGGGTAGATGTAAATCAAACTGTAGATGATCTGTGTACAATCCTAGTTATTGAGATAGACCGTGTGTGCTTAAAAAAACTACATTCTGTTGCTTTAAATCAGTGATAGATGTTCCAATGCAGGTAAAGATTTTATTTCTTAAAGATCTGTTACATTACAATCTGAGGCATTTAACTGCTCTAGACAGCTCACAGTTTCTTTTGCTGTTTCAGTTCTCGATATACAAAGACTTTGTAATAAAAAAAACAGCTAATCTAAACTGAGGAACTCCAATATTATCATAGAAAATTGAATGCATTTTTATATTTGTATCGTATAAAGCTGAAGCTGCTTTTTTATATTTTATGCTTTGTTGATTAGATTCTCATACTATATTACAAGACAGTGGTGATATAATTACAGTGAAAGACTCACGCATTTAGAAATACGTTGTTTATGGAGGTTGTATTTGGAAGGTGATGAATATTCTGATGTTGAGGGTGGTCTGGGAGCTGGAGTGAACTCTGCCATACTATATATATTAGACTGCCAGGCTTAATAACCTGTATCAATTTACGGTATCTTATTTCTTCCAATGCAAGGTTCTGCATCAGGTCTTTGAGCCAATGAAGCTGGCTGGGTGGGACAGACGTCCTTCACTTAGTTGAAATTAAGTATCTGGCATAGTAAAGACAAAGGTATTTGAGCAGGTATAACCCATAGCATATTTGTAAAATGACCCCAGTTATTATTTTTTTTGTCACTTCAGAATAGGTGAAATCTATATAGTATGTTCTAATTTATTCCTGAAGTAGAACATGCTGACTGCTGATAAATACCTCTTATGTACCCTAAGTCTTAAATGCAGGATCATATTAGTAATTTACTACTTTGAAGAGGTAATAAATTCGTAGCCAGCCATTGTATAGGGCTTGCCCATCATGTGCTGAATGCTTCCATCTCATGCTTGTGTAAACAGCATATAAAGAGCAAATTCTTGTCTAATAATCTAATGCAATTCCCACTCATCCCTTTTTAAATGAGCATGTGCAGTACTGGCTAAAAAGAGTGATACATATTGAGCTTCAAGCATGTAGGTCATTCTTCCATTTTTCTCTTTCACTTTTAAGTTGTCTTCTTAATCTTAACAGAAATCTTCAGAGTATTATGCTAGATATGGTATAGAAGAATATTTTGAATACATAATTTTGTAAAAGCACAGTGACACAGTGGTTAGCATTGCTGCCTTTCACTGTTGGGGCTCTGGGTTCAACTCCAGACTTGGGGTGCTATCTGTCTAGAGTCTGCATGTTCTCCCCATGTTTGCATGGGTTTTTGCCAGGTGATCTGGTTTCCTCCCAGTCTAAAGACGTTAGTTGGCTTTTGGGAAAATTGGCCCTGAATGTGAATATTTGTTTGCCTGTGTTAGACTGTGATCAACTGGCACCTTCTCCTGTCAACAGCTCCCTACCTGTTGCTTGCTGGGATAGGCTCTAGCTCCCTTACAACCCTGTATTGGATTAAGTTGTTAGAAAGCCAATGGATGGAATATTTTCTACACTGAAATGTTTTCCAGTACAAGGAAGGGTGGAGGACCATGCACACTGTCTTCTTACACATGCACTGTCAGAGGCATTTATTCCTTATTCACCTCAGGCCTAGCACACAACCAAAGTAAAAGTATGATCAGCTGATGGGGCAATATTGCTGTCTCTGACATCACTGCAATTGTTCACTAGACAAGTGAAAGGGGTAGGTGCTGTGATGCGCCAACAGTTCCACTACAGAGTAGATCAGATACAAAAACTTATGCGCATTATGCATTCAAATTATCAGTATCACCAGACATCTTGATGCTCATGTCACAGAGTGAAAAAGTGGGTGGGGGGTGGGGGCCACAGGTGTCAGGGGCTGTTTGAATGCCAGAGCCTACATTAGGGTTGATGTTTTTTTTCTTCTTGTCCTTTGAGCTTCTTCACATTGATCAAAGACCCTTCTTGTGTTGACACTCATTATTAACACACAAGTCACAGGTGATGTGTGGGATTGGGGACAGGTTTAACTAGGCCTCAGACTGAGACTGGGGTACTAGAAAAGGATACGAATACACAGTGCATTGTTCCCCTTATCCGTCATCATACACCCAGTTCATCAGTGAACCCTGAGTAGTTAATTCTACACCTGCCCAAGACATCGAAGGAACTCTCCCTCTTGAGATCCAGTCCTGAGCCCTGGTTAGGAGGGAAGAATTAAGGGGGACAAAGAGTGCAGTGTTGGACCCAGAAGAGATCTCAAGATACTAGGGACTCCACAGAGAGAAGTGGTAGAAGGCCCCAACATCTCCCTCACACAAAACTGGACTTGGGAACAAACCGCGCAAGAGGTGGAGTATGAGGGAGCACATTGTTCAGGACAGCTGGAACTGAAGATGCCTAAGACCACTGAAAAACTGCACAAAGTTTCTTCACTGTGGCCGAAGGAGGCACACCAGGTCATTGACTGCAGCTGATTTTAGAGACATGATGTAGGATGACTGTCTTTTTAGATCATATTTAACTTCTCCACTCAACTGCTTCATAATACATTTAAACATCAGTTTCCATAAAAGAAAGAGTAGTTGATAAATTCAACGTTGTAAGATACCTAGCAACTAATGGTGTCTAACAATCAGAAAAGCATTTGAATTCTTGAATTCACCTGGTCCAGTTATGAGCACTTGGAACAAGACTTTTACATGTATTTTAATGGGGATTTAGTGTTGCTTTTACAAGTTTTTGCCAACGAGCAGATATTTTGCAACTGGGACTGTAAAGCAAGGGATGAGCATACTCGTTTATTTGGCTGAAACGTTTATCCAAAGTAACTTACATTTGCACATAATTGTATAGCTGGATATTTTACTGGATCAATTTTGGGTGAAATACTTTGCTCAAGGGTAGACCACTAGCACCTTACTTGTGATTTTGTAACCTTCCAATCACATGTCCAGTACACTAACTACTGCTCCACACTACTGCCTCTTTAACCAAATGATCATGTAGAGGCTGAACAACCTCTTATGCTTATCAGCTTATGTTTTTCAAGACTGGCTGGGATAAATTCAGGACATGTGGATAAGACAACCAGTAAACTGCTGATATCTGTCACAGTTGGATACGTTCTAGACTTAAGTTTGGGCAATAGAATCTTTAAGACTCTGAATTGTATTGAATTTGAATTCAAGTCTTGAAGACAGAGAAAATGATAGTTTCTGGTGGCACACTTCTTGCTTGACCTTCCTGTAATAAAATGCTGACAAAAACCTAACTCTGATTCTTCTTCAGATTTGAAACTGACCAGACTAAGACTCCAATGAATGCAATTACATTCAAGGGAGCACAAGAGGATTGTGAACACACTGTATGACAGAAAAGAGTGTGCTGAGTCACTCCAACAAACAGGAAGTCTTTAACTGGCACCTTGGATCAAAGCCACTAACAGCCAAGTAACAGTGAGAAGGTGAACAGCCTCTGTCATACTTTGCCGCTGTAAATGGAGGATTTAATTTCAAAGTACATTGTGTGTATTATTCAGGTGCAGTTTTTCTATTAAAACAACATTCTTTCTGGAAGGATATGGATGTAGTAAGCATTCTATCCTACCTCCTTTGTTAGAGCCATGGTGAGCCTATATCACTTTTCCCTATAGAGGGTGCACCATTGTTGGCCAGGACGGATTATAAAAATCATACAGCTAACACGTAAGTCTCATGCATAATCGACTGCATCTTCAGTTCAGTATTTTTTTATTCTGTTTAAAGAAGACGGGTTTCTTATTTACAGTGGTAGGGAGTTCTTTTACACTGATTACACAAGCAGGAAATTAAAAAAAAAATGCCGCTCGAGAGGAGTGCATGGACAGTTTTTGTTCTTCTCAGCACAGACATAGCACATGCAGTGTACGCCCCCTGCACTGTTGTTTTCGACATTTGTTTTTACTTATTGCTCTATTTGAATGACAGCTTGTTTTTATTATGGTATATTAGTCAGTTATCTGCTAAGTTAATGTTTTTCACAACTTGATTATTAACACCCACTCGAACCTCCAGCAGCGTACCTGCCGCGCAACCTCCGAGCATGCGCGCAGGCGGAGCCTGTGTTCTGACTGTGATTGGGTGCGAGCTGGATTGGGTCGTAGGCTGCGGCATTTTAGCAAGACACTACGGACTGTTGTAGGGTGTGTGTTTGCTAATTGTGTTTAGGCAACATGGTGTTGAAGGCAGTTTGTGTTCTGAAAGGCAGCGGTGAAGTCTCGGGGACTGTCCACTTTGAGCAGCAGGTATTCGCATTGTTAATACACGGATGGTTATTTATTTGATCGCAAGGCCTTAGGTAACTAGGATGAGACCCTCTTTAGTCGCTTGAACTTCAATATCTGCGTCCTCTTTTGAACGAAGTTCAAATTCTTTGAATACCAGTTGTCGCGTGTTCGTTTTCAGTAGAAAGGCCGTGTTTGTAATACATTTTTTTTTAATTGTTCTGTGCACACCTTTCTTGTCATGGCTTGTTTCCGATGCACGTAAAAACTTCTCTTGAAGCTTGTTCACCGAAGCAGTGCTATGTTCTAAAGCCTGACAGGTATAGACGTTGTGAGGTGTAGTATTGCAATTTCTGTATAAAATGATTATAATTCTACGTCTTGCGTGTCGTTAGGTGTATGGCGTTATGCCAACTGTGTTATAATGCACATTGGTTGCATAACTCACTTCGGGGCAAAGAGCATTGCTAGCGGTTGAAGCTGGTAAGTTGAGGCTGCTTCGCTTTTATTGTGAAGCAGCTTAAGAGGTGCACCTAGAATATCAGAAATTTAGCGTTTCTGCTGAGTCATTTTGTTCTTTAAAGCGTAAGAGCCTGGTTTTGTACGCTTTCTAATGTCCGTGGTGCATCTCCACAAGGAGCGAAGCGAGTTTTGTTTTCATTTATGCAGCTGTACCTGTAAGGTTATTTGTTTTTGCATACTTTTTGGTGCAATGAACACAATGATTAAAGTGTATTGCTCTTCAACACTATACTGTGATGCCGCACGAAAATAGCGCCATGAAATTCTGCTTTGGAATCTACTGCGCATGATCACAAATATATTTTTTTAAATGTTTAAAAGCTGCATTGTCATTATTATCATATGCTGTCAAGACAAATCTTGTATTTCGTGATATCAAGCTTCAATTAGCCAAAGTAAGGCGGCACTCTAAAATAAAACGATATCCCCTTATTTCAAAACCCAAGACAGTTGCAGAGGCAGGGAAAAGAACTGAAGTAATATTTACTGTTTTTATTCTTTTATTTAGTGAAGAAATAACAAAAATGGATGGATTCGAGTTAGATTCCACATGATAATAACGAGACCAAGAAATGTGATTATTTTAAATGTTTAATGTTCTTTTGTGTAGATCTGTGCCTTTCATTGATAGATCCTTATTTATATCCATTCTCAACTTTTATATTTTTGACGAAGGGTAGTACACGTGTATTCAATTGTTTTTTCCATAGACTTAGTATATGGTGCTGGTGTAGATTTTGTGGCTTAAACCTGAGATCTCTAAACGTTTTTCATTTGTGAGGAAAGCAGACCTGTTTCATGCAGTCTTCGTTTTTTTGTGCTGATAGAATGGTGATGCACCAGTAAAAGTGACTGGGAAGATTTCTGGTCTGACTCCGGGAGATCACGGATTTCATGTGCATGCCTTTGGAGATAACACAAATGGTAGGTGTTAAAGACCCTGCGTCTCTTTCATAGAAGCAGATTTACTGCTGAGACACTACAAACCTGATTTGCACTCTTTGTGTCACTACTGTCTCTGGTATACATTTCCTTTATTTGCAGAAAACATTTGTCATTTTGTTGAAAATATTTCAGTTTTTAAACTGAAGAGTATCCAGTGTCTTACAAAAGTTTTGATCAAAAGATCTGTATCGACCCTCATTCAGGTAGTGAATTTCAAGCAAAGATTCAAGCATGAAGACTGAGAAGCTTTCCATACTCGAACGTAAAGTTGTAGAAAGTCACAGATCAGAAGAAGAGAGTATAAAAACTCTTCAAGGACCCTTTATATAGCAGCCATATCACCCTGCAACTCACAACTGGCAACCCACTGAAGCTAAGCAGGTGTGAGCCTGGTCAGTACCTGGATGGGAGACCTCCTGGGAAAAACTAAGGTTGCTGCTGGAAGAGGTGTTAGTGGGGCGTGCTGTCAGTCATGGTGGTGGCACCATTATGTTATAGTTCAGCCACTTAATCAGCGAGGAGTGGGAAGCTTGTCAAGACTGAAGGAAACATAGATGGAGCAAAATACTGGCAAATGGTTGCTGGCATGTAGCTCCACCAAGTGAACCATCAAGGCCTCCTTGAATAACTTCTGTTTAACTTTCCAGGCTGTGTAAGTGCTGGGCCTCACTATAATCCACACAACAAAACCCATGGAGGCCCTCGCGATGAAAACAGGTGAGTCTAAGAATGGGAAGAAATCCAGGGTATCAGTTTGTTCTTATGTTTTTTTTAAAAACATCAGGACAGTCCAGTTTTGTTATTCATCTTTTGTAATTGGTGCTGTTCTTGAAACTTTTTGTTTTGACATTAAGCTTGAAGATTTCTCATTACTAGGGAAATTTCATGTAGATGAGGTCATTAAGGGAGTTTTAATAATGTAAAAGTGCATGTGCTTTACTGAAAAATGTAACTACATGTGGGATTAAATATGTGACCATGGATAAAACTTCTGGGAGAAAAAAAGATAGTTTTTGTATGTGTATATTTTTGTTTCCCCTGCTTTTCTGTGAGTTTCAGAATGAGTGACCATGTAATAATGCAACTTTTCATTCAGATTTTATTTCTTAATGTCACTTTTTTTTAAAGTAAAAGCATAAAAAAGTAACTGGGTTTAATTGAAGTTGGGGGGGGGTGTTCCTAGTAAATTTGTTCCCCAAATCAGACAATGACTTGCATGAAGTAAATAATAGCTCCATTCTAATACTGGGAATCTGAGCTTTAATCATATAATATAACCCACGCAACCTGTTGAGCAGTTCCTGGTGCCATGATAGAGAAGCTGATCTTGCTTTTGTTGGGTTTTGCACATAACTGTTGCTTGTGATGACCTTGAGAGACCTGTGCCATATTTGTAGGCTTTAGGAAATTTTAAAATCAACTTTGCTAAAGTTGATTGTATTGCAGGGCAGTGCCCTAACTGACAGAAATGTTAAGGCCTTCAAATGAGTGAGTGACTAGGTGTTGATGGAATATTGATCCAGCAACCTCATGGGGAATTAAAAGAGAAAGGGGGGTGGACGTAGATCATCTTAGACTTTTTTCGGAAACCTAAAGGTAAATGTTATCCTGTTTTGCGACAATATCAGTTTTGCGTGTTGTGTTGTTTCAGGCATGTGGGTGACCTTGGCAACGTCACTGCTGGAGAGGATAAAGTAGCGAACATTAACATTGAGGACAAGCACATCACATTGACTGGACAATTCTCCATTATTGGACGGACTATGGTGGTAAGAGACGGACCGGTGTTGCTTTTCTCTTGACTGAAAGGTCAAGGATGGAAAGTTCCTTACCTTAAGGTTTAAGTTGGAAAGGATTTCGGAGGATTTGATCTTCTACATTCTAAGAATCCAGAAGCTTGTTACTTCTTCACTTAATTCTGTTTTCTGCATATTATGTAATGCCTTTTGTTGCTTTGTGTTTAAACATCAGCTACATAGTATTTAATGTTATTTTAAAGTCTGATAAATATTATGGCAATGTATCCCTTTACTTTGTGTTCCTGTTCGCCCTTTTTTTTATGGTGATTTTTTTTTTTTCCCTCCCAGAATCATGTTGTCTCTGTCTCTAAAGACCAAAGCCGTTTGTGGGATCACCGTATTACTAAAAAGTTTTGTTTTAATGGATCTGGAATGGAACCCATGAGAAGCTAGTGTAGCAGCTAAACGTCATGCACGTGCATTGAGTGCTCTAAAAGCTTTGATGTAAACAAGGCTTTGGGTTTGTGAGTTTTCTTTGAAATCCTAGTTCAGCTAATTGTAGGGAAAATTGTAGCCTTTCATTTGCGACCCTGTTGAAACAGATTTGTGATGGTGCATGCCAGAGATTTCCTGCTTACAGTTATACCTGGAACTCTCTGTGTATTTGACTGTGTGCATAACGACAAGGATTTCTCATTTTTCTGTGGCCTGCTCTGTAATTCGGTTTCGATGTGGATCCCTCAGTTCGTAGTCAGACAGATCTCCGCTCGGTCTGTTGCAGATCCACGAGAAGGCCGATGACCTGGGGAAAGGGGGAGACGACGAGAGCCTGAAAACGGGCAATGCTGGGGGGCGTCTGGCCTGCGGGGTGATTGGTATCGCTCAGTGATGAACCCCCCATTCAGAGCGCCTGAGCTGGAACATGGGTGATCTAGTGACCAGTATCCGTTCCCAGAAGAAGGGAATAAGGGAATATTCTTGTCTACAGAATTTGCTGATCTTAGCAATTAAAATGCTTCTGTTGTCATTTCTCTTTGATGTGTTTGAAGATCATATTTTTGTTCTGTAGTGTCCCTGTTGTTCAAGAATTCCACAGCACGTTTAGAAGGATCTAGTTTTTCTTGCTATGGAAAACCAATAAATATTGACTAGTAATATATGGTTGCCGTGTATGTTTTTTCTTCCTTTTTAACAAGATGGTGTTGGTTCACACATTCGGAGTGTACTGTGAAGGGAGTTTTAATTTAAAACCTGAATATGAATGCCTGTGTCTTTATTGCATAATAAATGTAATATCTTCATCAGATTTGTAGCTTTATAAGAAAATACATTTTTGCACTCTGCACTGCAGCACTACGCAGTGCGTTTATGGAATACATGAAATTTTGCTCCTGAAGTTATGGCTACAGATTAGTGATGTAGCCATACAGAGGTAAAAAAAATCAGAATGTTGTTGTGCAGAATGGCCTCCTCATTTGTTGTTAGTAAGGTCTTGAGATTGTTGTATTTTCTGTAAGAACTCGCTTTTTTGTTCACTATTCAGTTGACTACACAAACAGCCCTTCTATTTTAATATAAATTGAAGCCTATAATCACTTAGAAATGTGAAACATGCAGTACATTATGTGGACACTAGGTGA